CTTATCTGACTACGGAATCCCTTTTATCCCCCCACAAAATATCTAGAGAGGCTAAATGCTCTTAGAATATTCTTTGGCAGGGCCAGCCCATGGCTCACTCAGGATAGTGCAGTGCTGATAACACCAAGGCCACAGGTTCGGATCCTATATAGGGATGGCCGGTTTGCTCACTGGCTGAGCGTGGTGCTGACAACACCAAGCCAAGGATTAAGATCCCCTTACCGATCATCTTTTAAGAAAAAAAAAAGAATATTCTTTGGCAAATGCTGTTCTATGAATTCATCCTGGTTCTAAACATTCCGGGGCTAAATCTAGCAACAGTTAACTTTTCAGTTTCTGAAGAAGAATTATTTCGCTTATCATGATAACCTCCTGGATTCTCCTTCATAAGTATCCTTCCCAAAGCAGCTAAAAAGTAACTTTTCTTTACCACATACTGAGGAATTCAAGTTATTCTCATGATAATGAGAATTACGATCTTTTAAAGTAAATCCTTACAGTCTTTCCTCAAACATTAAAAATACAGAGATCTAACTCTAGATCTTAGTATCTAGAATCAAAATTACTTTGAAATGAGAGCATTTTATCACATCATCACTGTAATTAACACTATCAATAATAATAATAATAATAATAATAATTAATGGTGGTTACAGTACTAGTATTGGCTAAGCACTCGTTTTTGCATCTTAATCTTCATATCCACTTTATGAATTTAGGACCTACTATTACACACATTTTAAAGATAAATACACTGAGTTTTTACAGAGATTAACTGACTTGCCAAGCGTCAGACAAAGGTGTAAGGGTAGAACCTCAAATTCATATCTGATTCCTTACCCCATGCTCTTCACCACTACATAATGCCATCTTATATTCTAGTGACAAAACAAAAGCATTTAGGTTCCACTCTTGTTAAACTGAAAATTAGAGTATATTTATGTAAATTCAACTTGATTGGAATTTGGTTTTCGATTTCCTTTTGAGCAAACCCTCATCCCCTTAAAGAAGATATTTTAAGTTAAAAAAACAAAAAAACTAAAAGCAGAAAAAAACAGACTGCTATTTACCAATGACAGGTTTATAGGGTTTTAAAACATGGAAGAGTTTTAAAAATCTGCATCCAAGGTGAAGACATTATCTGTGGTTTCCGCCATAACTGCAAAACGCTGATACTCCGAAACTCGTTTCTCAAAGAAATTTGTTTTCCCTTCTAAAGAAATGTTTTCCATAAAATCAAATGGATTTTCTGCCTGAAAAACCTAAAAAGAAAAGAAATGTTACTAGACATTCTGAAGAAGCCAAATTATACCCCGCAAGAAGAGTAAAGATGATGAAAACAGAGCTCAGATCTCCCAACACTGATTTAGTCACCTATAAGATCTCATTATTTCCCTAAGGTCCTGGAGACACTCAAGGCTGCCAAATTTTAAGATGATTGAGATCTTTTACTAACCTCAAGAAACTACCCTAGCATCTGTAGTATTCTAAGAAATTGAAAGAAAAAAAGATTCTTTCAAGAAATGAAATATTTAATACCAACCAAATGAAAATATTCTTACAGCTTGAGAGCTCAAATACACTGTAGAAACGACAGGCATTTTTCATAGGTATTACTATTAGGTAGTCACATATACATGATATACAAAATGTTAAATTACCAACAACGTACTGTCATCCTAAACATGTTTCTTGGTTTATAAGAGAATAGATAATCAACAAGTTGACAGTATGGGACCATGATCAGGGAAGATATAATAAATGCTATCCATAGTGATTAAATGTCTCCAAACAAAAAGTGGGACATAGGCTGACCAGAAGCCTTTTTACTGCTTCCGAATTCAAAAGGCAAACTTGGAGATACAGCTTGACGGAAACTATGGGATTTTTCAGTAATTCATGAGGGGCAATGAACGAGGATTTCTGAATTTAGGAGTATCCCAACAGTAAATATGAACATCACAGATAAGAATATATTCAAATAACCCAATTTTTAAAATGGGCAGAGTATCTGAATAGACAGTAGACATTTCTTTAAAGAAGATATACAAAAGGTGGATAAACATGAAAGGATGCTCAACATCATTACCCATTAGGGACGTGCAAATCAAGACCACAATGAGATACAACTTTCAACCAACTAGAATGGCTATAATTAAAAAAACAAAACAAAACAAAATGAAAAAACAAGTGTTGGTAAGAATGTGGAGAAATTAGAACTCTCATATACTGGTGGGAATATAAAATTGTGCAGCCATTCTGGAAAACAGTCTGGCAGTTCTTCAAACGACTAAACATGTAGTTACCATATGAACCAGAAATTTCACTCCCAGGTATATACTCAAGAGACATGAAAACATATGTACACACAAAAACTTGTATGTGAATGTTCATAGCAACATTATTCGTAATAGCCAAAAAGTGGAAACATCCAAATGCCCATGAACTGATGAATGGACAAATAGAATTTGATATATTCATACGATGGGATATTATTTGGCCATAAAAAGGAAAGAAGTATTGATACATGCTACAACCTGAATAAACCATAAATATACTATACTAAGGAAAGAAGAGAGTCACAGAAGACCACATATTGTATATTCCATTTACATGAAATGGAACATACAAAATAGGCAAATCTGTAGAAACAGAAATTAGGTTAGTGGTTGCCTAGGGTAGAGGTGGCAAAAAAACCTTTGCCACATCTTACTCTTTCATTAAGTACTTCTGTGTTTACCAGAATATAAACATATTACCAAGAAAGGTAATGATTACCCCAGCATCATGTATTTCCTAAGGCTTCTCATTAAACACAACTTAAACTTATATTTTCATGCTAAGAAATCAAAACCTATAATTTTTAATCACCATTGTATAGTACATGATGAATTTCCACTTATGTGAACATTTCTGTGAATGTTCCACATATGTGGAGTACAAAGTGACAATCTAGTGTATCTTTACTATGTGTCTGATATTACTTTAAGTGTTTAAGTGTACCAACTCATCAACAATCCTTTGTGGTAAGTATTATTATTACTTCCATTGTACAGATGAGGAAACTGAAATAGAGGTTAAGCAACTTGCCAAAAAACACATAGCTAGAAAGTGGTGAAGCCAGGATTCAAACCTAGGTAGTCTGGCTGCAGCTTCTATCTCTTAATTTACATAAAAACCACACCTCTTTATGAAATTCAGGTATATTATCTCTGACAGAAATAACATAAAAGACCGGTCAGTTAGCTCAGCTGGTTACAGCATGGTGTTATAACACCAAGGTTAATGGTTTGGATCCCCATACCAGCCAGCCATGAAAAAGAAAAAGAAAGTTAGAAATAATATAGAGACAATAAGTTCAAAGAGTATAAATATGACAGTTAATGTCTTCCTAGTAACTATTCTCCACTTAAAAATATTAATCCCCCCCGCCCCTGCATTGTAACACTAACGGTCAAGGGTTCAGATCCATGTACTGCCCAGCCACAAAAAAAAAAAAAAAGTATTAACACCAAAATTATAATATAGACACATGGGGATTTATATAAGGGTAAACATATATATGTATATTAAATCCAATTACTTGAAAATAATTCTATTAAATATATACATGTTATTATTATAAAGTAATTTACTGAGCTTATTGGTTCCAATATTTATCAGCCTCCTACTTCTGTTATTGAATTTCATTTTAAGGTTCAAAGGATTTTCCCAAACCAATTTGTTCATACAAAACAAGTCTCTGTCATGGACGTCTTAAAAGTAGAATATAGTGTGTTACAAATGCTTTCATTAAAATTGATTTTAGAGGCCTTACTTGACTATAACATATTAACTAGTAGTAATACATTTTTAAACACCTTACTTTTGAGAATCCAAGTTCCACAAATAATCTGTCAGCTACAAACTCAATGTACTGTTTCATCAAAATGCAATTCATTCCAATGAGGCCAACAGGCAAGGCTTCTGTTAAAAACTCCTGGGATAGAAACAAAACCAGAATAAAGTAAAAAGACAGAGCACTAAATAAGTATGCATTTTCCAAACAGAAAGAGGGTTTTAGCTTTAATAATATTCTAAGACATCGATTTTGTTCAAGGAAAGTATAGCAGAAAAGTTCTTTCATTGTGGCAAATGATGTTCATTTGTTTAAAAATGTTTGAGGTAAGGGCCGACCCCGTCGCTCACTCGAGAGAGTGCGGCGCTCCCGCCGCGGGTTCGGATCCTATATAGGGATGGCCGGTGCGCTCACTGGCTGAGCGTGGTGTGGGCGACACCAAGCCAAGGGTTGCAATCCCCTTACCAGTCACAAAAAAAGAAACAAACAAACAAAAAAATGTTTGAGGTAATACTATTCACATTATTTCACATTCCCAAAGAGCCAAAATAAATGGAAACTACCAGATTACTGGATTTTTAAAAGTGGCACACATAGGACCTGAATTAATGTGCTTTCTCAACAGAAGAAGGGAGATGCTTTGATCTGAAATATCTAGAAGAAGATTCACCAAAGATGATTGTCATGGGGAGCATGACTATGGAAGGGAGTTGAAAAAGAGATCAAACTCAATTAACAAAGAATATGAGAAAAAAAATAGGAATGGATCTGGGAGTTGGGAGACAGATTGAACTCCAACTATTAAAAGACAGTGTGTTAATAGAGAAAAAACAAAAACACATTAATCACTTGGATTTAGTTCTCAAAATGATTAAAAATACCAAAATGCATTTTATGCCTTTTCCCCTTCCCAATATGAAAACTATGCCTGTTAAACTATGTAGTGTTCAAAAAAAAAAAGTTTAAAAAAATTTTATTTTTAAATTAGTTCTTTAGAATGATAAAAACACATCTAACTCTTTCTAGTCAACAATCTTTACATGCTACAAATTAAGTTTTACTATTCATTAATTCATCATTTATTCGTTCTATAAATATTTTGGTGCATGCTTCGAGCTACATACCCTGCTAGGTTACTGAGAATACAAAACAAATAAAAAATCATCACTGCTCTCCAGTAGCTAAAAATCTAAAAATACAAAGCTACAATAATTAAAATAGTTCATAATGGCAAGAAATTTGACCGATAGATTAAAAGAGACAGAAAAACAGACCTGAAACAGATTTTAGTATACATAAAAACTTAATATATAATAAATACTGACTTACATGCCAAATTATAAACTGGCTTAAATAATTGCAATACATCATGTATTGGTACTGTCAGATTGACCGTACAGAATTTCAGATATTTGTTTTGACCTACAAAATGACAATTTCATATGAGTCATCAGACAGATGTGCTAACTGCATAAACCTCCCTACTTACCTGCTCAATTTCAACAGCATTAACAATGATCTCCCTGACCCTTTCTTCTGAAGGCTTATTTACTAAGTATCGAAACATCAGACAAGCAAAGTCACAGTGAAGTCCCTAAATAGAAGAAAAATGTCACTGTCAACGAACTTGTATTCAGCTACTTGCACACAGTGATATGTCGAGCAACATATAACGTTGGTTCTAGGAATGCAACATAGAACATCTGGAAGATAAAAAAGGGATTAATATGGCCAGGAACTTATTTTCTTCAAATCTCATTAAATGCCGATATAATAAACTATAAAGAAAATTTTTCGACGCCAGCAAATCTTAGTTCATCAGCATCAAAGAAGAATTAATTTACACAAGCAAAATCTATAACCAAAAGCATTTTGGAAAGGAAACAAAAATTCATCATTTTTTAAATGTCAAAAAATTAAGGAATAATTGAAAAATAATAAGTAGTATTTAAAGAACAGATGTCAGAGAGATTTCAAAAACAACATTTATATCAAATAAGAATAGCTCACGATAAAAATGAATTCAGCACAATGAAAATGGAAAGAATGAAGAATACCATATAAAGTAGAAATAACATTGCAGATAACTCAACCAGAGAAGAAAATAAACTTGTAAAATAAACCTGAAAATAGAATGGTTATGCAAATATAATAAATGTTATAGATCTTACGTGACTGGAGAACAGACCAAGGAGATTCAACCTACCGTAGTCAGGATTCCAAAAATCAGATTAGATGGTATAAAGTGGAAAATCAAAAGAACAGGAGAAAATTTTCAAAAATTCAAAATGAAAAAAGAGAAAGAGGTCAGATATAGAAAGACGATGGAATTCCCAACAAAATTAACAGTTAGAGACTGACACCAAGGTAGAGCCAATTAACACTTCTAAACTACAAAGAAAAATAATTTTGTAAGCAACCAAGGAGGGAGGATGGGAAGAGGAACAGATCCCTTAAAGGAAAACACTTTAACGGATTACAAATCAGAGTTGTTAGATTTTTCTAAATGAATCAACAAAAACCCAAAGACAATTCAAACATGAGACCTCAAATAAAAGGTTGTATTCCGAAGATTATTTACCTAGTTAAATTGTCATTCCCAGAAGAAACCATCAAAAAAAAAAAAAAGAAAGAAAGAAAGAAAGAAAAGAAACAAACCCAAAACCCCTCTTTGAACAGCTAATTTTAGAAAATATACTAGTGAAACATTCCTAGACTTGACTCAAGGGGATACTTCAAATTACCAAAGGCTGCATTCTAAAGAAACTGCTGAAAGACGTTAAAGAAAGTGTTGATTAGAACTGACAGCAAGCTGCTTATTACAAAGACAAGTAAATCAAAGGTAGGCACTTATAAAAAAAAAAAAAAAAAAAAAAAAAAAGAAAGGTAAGCACTCATAATTCCTAAATCAGTAAATAAAGTTAATTTTGAGGTTTAAAGCAATACCAGTCAAAAGCCCATTTGAATTGTTTTTAATTCAAAATTTAATCTGGAAGAATAAATGGGCAGACCATTGTAAAGACACTTTAAAAAAGAAAGTTTTGAGATTTATCCTAATAATTATTAGAACATATAAAACTATAATAATTAAAATAGTTTGTTACGGGGCCGGCCTGTGGCTCACTCGGGAGAGTGCGGTGCTGATAACACCAAGGCCACGGGTTCGGATCCCACATAGGGATGGCCGGTTTGCTCACTGGGTGAGCGTGGTGCTGACAACACCAAGTCAAGGGTTAAGATCCCCTTATCGGTCATCTTTAAAAAAAAAAAAAAAAAAAGTTTGTTACGGCCTGAAATCTGACAGATAGGTCAATGAGGCAGGAAAAATAGCCTTGAAACATATTTCAGTATAACAAAACCTTAAACTATAATAAAGAAGAAAACACAAGTCAATGAAGAAAGGATGAATTACCTAAAGAGAACTGAAAAAACTTCCCAAAAGTGTTTGAAATAAAATTTAGTTAAATTCTAACTTATTCTATACTACACTGTATTTACACCAAATTCTATACTTATACTAAACAAATTCCAAACATTGTAAAAAAATTGCATTAGAGAGTTAAATGTTAAAAAGTGAAGAAAAAAATACGTGTGACTATTTAACTTATCTCTGGAGGTGGATCACATAAAATTTAAGATTTTGCATGTTAAAAGAACAAACAAAATTAAAAAACAAAAGACAAATTGGTAAAATATTTTAAATCAATGTAACAAAATTCATATATTATATTTATGCAATTAATATAACAATCAAATAAGTACTTGTTGAAAGAACCCAATCAGTCATTGTACATTTGGAATATACCAGTGAACAGAGCAAGTATGACTTCTTCAAGGATTATAGACTACTCCATAAATAACCTTAAAATATTGAAAGCATTTACAATTAAATAAGGAAAACATTAATATCACAACAGGAATAAAGGCAAAAGACATGAACAGGTAACTACAGAAAAAATACAAATGACTAATATCATTACCAAAAAAAAGTTCAATCTAAGCAAATAAACGCAAGTAAAACCAATAATGAGATACCAATTACCTCTATCAAATTTATCAAATATTTAGCAAATTAATCCAAATTCTAGTGAGGGTATAAGAAAATGTTCATACATTGCTAGGTGGGACTGAAAATTGCTATAAATTTTCTAAAGAAATCTGCAAATATGAATGGCCTTATTACCTACTCATTCTACTTTTTGTGATCAAGCTTAGGAAAATAATGTAAAGTTGGCAGAAAACTTATATACAAAGATATTCATTTTACATTATAGCACAAATAAACAAAAAGCTGGAAACAACATAAATTTCTGATTATAGAATAGTCAAATAAATGATACATTCATTCATTAGAATATTACATATCTAACAAAACTACTATTTACAAAAAAATGCTTAATATCATAGAGAAATGCTCACAATAGTTTGCTAAGTGGAAAAGAACATCTCGACTCATAAAAATATGAATTGTGAAAATATTATGCTTATATATCTACATAGATTTAAATGTAAAAGAAAAGTTTAGAAAGAAATACAATACAATAGTAAACATGGTTATCTCTGTGTGTTGAGATTGAGTGATTTTTTAATTTTCTTAATTCTCTCTAATCATCACTTATGACATTTACAATAAATGTTATTAGAAATTTAAAGACATGAAACAGCAAAAAGTAAATATACGAAGCATTTCTGGCACAAATTATTCACATATAGTGTTTCATTGCATTCTAACAAAATCCTGTTAAGGCTTATAGTCGAAGAAACTAAGGCTCAGAGAAGTTAAGTAACTTGACAAGGTTACTTAGAAATAAGCTGAGGAGCCATAATTAATGTAGTCAGTACATGTGAACTGAATTACTGTAATGCACTAAATATTGAAAACAAGAAGATAAATATGACAAGGTCTCATCTGGATCCCTATACTGGCCAGTCACCAAAAAAAAAAAAGACAAGGTATCTGCACTAAGTTGCTTAGAGTCTAGCAGAGGAGAGAAATAAGAAGCACAATATATATTATGGACTCTAAGACAGGGACCAGTTCAGATATCAAAGGGATACATAAAGAAAAGAGTGGTCAATTTTACCTAAGTGGTTCAGGAAAGTTCTGAGTTGCTTCTTGTGAGATGATAAAAAGGCAAAAAAAAAAAAAGAAAAGAAAAAAGGAGGTAGCAGAGATGGAAAGGGCATTGTAGGCAGAGGGAGGCAAGA